GTTGGGGGTTGGGGGGTGGGGGTTGCCAGAAAACTTGGGACCGGCGCAAATAGATGGGGGAAACCCCGGCCTCCAGGCACTGTCTCACGCTAGGAGTGCTTCCCGACCTACCGGCCCCATTGTAAAGAGCAATGGCACGACAAACCAAGGCACGACTATGACTGGGGCAGCCAGCATCTCTCCGCTGACGTCAGGGACCAAAGTGGAGAGGTACTCACACTGAAGACTCAAGCACAACTCGAAAAGTGCCCGTGCCACACAATAAAATAGTAAGGAAAATGCTAGGAGGAAGGAGAGCGTGAAAATCAGACTCTAAATACATATCACTGAGACGTATGAAAAGGAGATTTGACCTTTCTCTCTTGTTTCTTCCTCCCTTCCCTGTTTCGCGGGAGTGTGAGCGTATGTGGATGTACTTGCGTTTAAAAGAGAGGTCCATTGTAGCTGTTTCTCCGCAATGAAGTTTAAGAAGGATTGGAGTTTTCTTGACTTCTGCGTGAAGAGATTCCAAATGACCATGACAGAGAGTCACATAAATATCTATAAAGTTCCTATTGACACCTCTGTCATCACTTGATCCCTGCAGCATCCTAAACCGGAGGCCACCCATTCTGAGTGGGCACTAGACTGAGCTGTGCAGGGAAAGATCAACGGCCCCCTCCTTCCCCCTTCCTCCCCCGTTTCACTCCACTTCGGAGGACGTGCGTTGGCGGGCGCGCGCGCGTGTGTATGTTTAGCAAAGACGGTTGTAAGAAGCTACCCTTTGTTGCACAAACCCAGCCTTATCAGAAGCATTCCTCGAGCGGGAGATTCTCTAAGCTGCTTCTCTAATCTGTGCCCTCTTCACAGTGATGCTTGGTTCTCCCAGGTCCAGGGAGCTGACGCTTTGATAGTGTGTGTGTGCGTGCGTGTGTGTGTGTGTGTGCGCGCGCGCGCGCGCTGCGACTACGAGCTTCCTCTCCCGACACGGTGCAGGCAGAGCAGGCGACGTTACTCTTCAGGCAGCGGCCAGCAACGCGAGGCAACAGCAGCCTCCGCCCCCTCAGCTTGGTGATTGGCTGATTTAGCTCATCATTTCCCTGCTAGCAAGAGGGAAGGGCCAGTGACGCCCCCGAACCCAGCTGCAGAAGCGGCCAGCACTTGCAATGCACAAGGTGTCTCAGCTGAAAAGAAACCTGAGCCCTAAGGAGGTGGCGCGGAGCTACAGGGCAAAGGCTGGCGCGAACAGCGCGTGAAGGCGCTGGGCAGCGCTAGAGGACCAGGGGGAGCTCGGCCGCAGAGGACCCTACCTAACGACCTAATCCTGGGATCCCCGCTCCAATCTCTCCTCGCATTTTACGGATTTCCCCACCACGACTATCTCACCAAAACGGAGCCTTTACATCAAGAGAAGGTGCGGGAGCTCGGGCAACCAGGACTTTGCCGGGCACTCAGGATGCGGTCCATCAGGAAGAGGTGGGCGATCTGCACGATAAGTCTGCTCCTGATCTTTTATAAGACAAAAGAAATAGCAAAAACTGAGGAGCACCAGGAGACGCAACTCACTGGGTAAACGCAAAGCTTCATTTCAGGATATAACAAAAAGTCAAGCTATACATGAAATGTGAATATAGATGGTTGGGATAGTATGTGTGTTCGTCTAAGCTTGCGTGTGGTTAGGCTCATGAATTAAATAACAAAGGCTGTTGTTGAGGTGTGTGTGCTTCTCTGTGCTGTTCCCCCTGAGTTCAACTTGCCCTGTGCGGTGGTGGTGACAGTTGTGTTGGCGCTGGGTGCTCGCACGCCAAAGGAGAAGTCACTGCAGAAGTGTCAACAAAGAACGTGTGCCCTTGTCCTTTTAATCCGTGGGCAGAATTCGAGCGAGACGTCTTTATTTACCAAACGGTTGCCCTTCCTTCTTTCTCTGCCCTTTCACTCTAGGGAGACACGAGAGAAAGCTGGTTTCTTGAATGGTTGAAGTTAAAGTCCCCAAAGCATGAAATGCATCTATCTCCTCTGTTTCTCTACTTTTTTGGCTTTGGGTACATCTTCTTATGATAATCACTCTAGGGAGACACGAGAGAAAGCTGGTTTCTTGAATGGTTGAAGTTAAAGTCCCCAAAGCAGGAAATGCATCTATCTCCTCTGTTTCTCTACTTTTTTGGCTTTGGGTACATCTTCTTATGATAATTTGAATTAGAAACTCCGATACCACCAAAGATACTTCCTTATTTGCTTTTCCATGGGTAAAATGCATGGGCGTCATGACTACAGTTTTAGAAAGAAGCTGGGTACTGGCTTCACATAAACTATATTTGTGCTATTTCTTTACTTTGTGTAGATGAGCTCAGAATCTCCCCCGCCCTGTTAAGTTCTCTAAATATCACACTTCCTTCCTCCCTCCCTCTGGCCTCGGTGCCTTTGAAGTTTACCCAGGAGGTGGTGCAACTTTGTGTTGCTGACATAGCTTGGATGTTTTCTGAGGATGTGAATCTGGTTGTCAACTCTGTTCAAAGTCCTATTTCGGAAATCCTCTCCCGTCTGGAGGCGTCCGCTATTGGAAACTCCACACTGGCAGAGCTGCCCGCCTGGTTTTTATTTTCTCTGACATTTATTCAAACAGAGAGAAAGCCCTTGCCATTGTGTGTGTGGCATTAGACTGCTAAAACACATACACACTCTTAAACTTCATGCACTCCATTTCTTAATATTTCTGCTCCTCCCTAACTAATGAGCATTTAAGTGAGCAAGACGCAGCTTTATCCTTACAGAAGCTATTGCTATTCTGTAGTAGTACAGTCAAACGGGACTGAAAGGGAATGAAAAGGATAATAAGAAATGGGTTGGATGGTTGTTATGCATCGACAAATCAATATACGATCTATTCGGGGGTGAGGTCGTTGACACAGGAGTGGGTGTTTTGAAAATCCAGTCTAGCTCAATTGTCAGAAAAGAAGGACTTTGGGCGGGGTTGTGGGCATCCCTGTCAGACCTGTACTTGCTAGGCAGACAAAGGGGTCCTTAGGAAGATGATGAACGGGCGCGTGGGGGCTCGGATGAGAGGCGGAGGCTGAGGCGTGAGGGTCGAGGTTCTTTGTTCCCTTCCGGGCTAGTGGGTTCTGAAGATAAACCTGAGACCAGACAAAGCGGCCAAACCTCGCCCAAACTCTAAGGGTTCAGGCCCTTGTCTCGGGACCCTGGAGAGCAGAAGTGGGCGGGGCGAAGGGGAGGGGGGCGTAAGGTGCTAGTGGGGCGCCAGAGGCTGCCTGCGCGTCCTCTCCGAGCCTCCCTAACCCGCAGGCAGGAAAGAGGAACACACCCCGAGTACCTCCGGGAGAAAACAGACCCGGGACACTCGACATTTCACGGGCAACATCTCTCGTGAGGCCCTTTCTGAACGCCACCGGCCGATGGCCGCAGTCCAGGGCAGGAAGGAAGAGAAGGCGGGCACCCGCAGGGCGGCTGGGCTAGCCGGGCCGGGCTTTCGCCGCACCCCTTTCAAGCCGAGCTGCTCATTTTGCAGACGTGGGGCAGGCGCTTGAGTCAACCAAACGGGAAGAGAGGTGCGCACCAGGTCTAAACCTCTCCCCAGGCAGCCGGCAGCGAGGGTGCAAGGATGAGTGAGGAGACAGGCGGAAGCCCTCCTGCAGGAATCAGGCCCTCTTCGTTTAAAAAACAGCAAAAACTTTCACTGATCAGTCGGCAACCCGCTCCTCCTTGATTAAAACCCGCACTTGCAGTCCTGTGCGGTGAGGCAGAGAGCGGGCTGCGGGCGCCGCACTTGCACCAGTGCCCCGCAGCGTCCTGCCTACTGCGGCCGCCCGGCCCTTCCCGAGACCGTGGAGTTGGCGCTGCCAGGAGATGCGAGCACAGCTAGTCTCCTGAGCGCTCTTTCCCTTTTCCCCAGGATGAGACGTTCAGTGGAAAAGCTTATGATCCAAGTTGGGGGTTTTGTTTCAATTTCCAAATAGTGCTTCTGGTGGAGGAGTTGACTTTTCAAACTCTCTAATCATCTCATTGACTCTCTTATTACCCAAGCCACTAGAGAGGCCAATTTTTAAATCAGTAAATTCAAGTGGAGGTCTGGCCCGGGAGCCCAGGCAAGTATTCAAAGATGAGGTAACAGAGGCAGTTTTTGGCCTTTGGGGGACACTGCGTGCCTTGCGGGTGGGCAGTGGTTTCAATGAGGGGCCTTCCCATAGTGCTTGAATCTTACACCTAAATTCAGATTTAACTTTCCTGCTATCATTTTTGCGATGGGCAGGCTGTTCCATTATCTATTCGACCTTGCCCTGCCCCTTTGACCGGAAGCCCCCACTAGAGTAGGCACAGCATAACTCTTCTTGTACACAACATTGAGCAGTCCTTCCAAGCAGATGAGAAAACTTTCCCACCAACTATCCGCGTTCCTATCCCCAGAGGAATATTAACTGCATCTATTTTTTTTTATAAAGAATTATTCCAGAATAAGTCTAGTCATAATTATTGGACACCTAAAATTGATATTTCTTTCCTAGAAAACTTATTAATTGCCTGTTATGATGACTTAGTTATGAAGCTTAACTCAAAATGCATTGAGAGTATTAAGTGGACTATTCTTGACTAACTTTTTTTCGTGATGTTCCTCACAATTGGCCTATGATTTAACTGGCTCTATGTGCTGTTTTGGGTTTGAGTGGAAATGTGTGAAATTAAGACTACAGTAGATGAAATATGTGGGTATGCTCATTTAATGAGATAAGTATTTGAAAGTGTAACATAAACTTTAATGCCTTACAAATACTTGTTTTGATTGTTATTCCTTGAAACTTACTACACACTATTTTCTGGGTTGATCACATATGAAATATGAGATTTTAACTTACTTTTCTTGTCATCTAAAGATCTTTTTAAATTGACTATGAACTTTAGGTTTTCTTACTAAATGAGCAACAGTATTAGTCCTGAAACCTATGATAAAATTGACAGTGGAGATAAGCATTCACACTTAAGAGTATTATCATTGCAAAGTTACTTCCTGGTTGTTCTAGGGTACAACACATCATTGTAAATCAGGTAATCCAGAATTTGACTTTTATTTCACATATGTCATTAGAAGTTCTAATAAAACCCATGAGCAATAAGTTAAGGTAGAACACCTCATCTTTATTTTTAGTTGTTTGACACTTAGGTAGTAAAAACAGGAAATTACCTCCTGCTTGTATGTGGGGTTAGTTTAATGCACGTTCTTCTCTTTTAAATGACTTTTTAAATTGTATGTTAAGGAGGAAGTGTAACCAAGTCCAAAGGGAACACATTCATTCCAAAGCCAGGTCACGAAGAGTTTCAGTGGGCTTGAATCCAGGGCTTTTGGGACCTAACTTCATGAAGTGAAATTAATCATATTTGTTATGTATTGCAGAACTAATAGAAAAAAATTGTGGTGAAGCCCGGAAACACATTTCATGGAAAAGAAATATTTGTAGATACTAAGTAACATAACAAATTATTATTTCCTGACACTGGTATCTCATAGATGACCATTTTACTGAATTCTTCTTAGTTCTGTATAAGCAGTAATACTTTGTAATATATTGCTTTATGCTGAGTGATTTCTTTGATGTGTTTATTTGCCCTTTAAAAATACATATTGAATCATCTTGGAGATAGTCCTATGCAAGAAATATTTTCAGTGCGGCTATTCAAAACTCATGTCTAATCTAGAATGAGAAATAGGTGGTGGATGGCAACATCCTTCATGCTTTGCATTCACATAAAGGAAAAGCTTTTTCTAAGACAGAATGCTACCAAGGTCACAATGAAAAATCCCTAGGGACATATTTAACTTTATTCAAAGAAATTTGCTCAAGATTCTCAGATCACAGTAAGCCTGGCCTTCTCACACATAAATTCCACTGACTATAAGTGTTGTAACTAGTTGCAGCTACTTTCATTCCAAGTTTTTTGCAGTTATAAGAATCTGAAATTTGGCCTATCACCAGTTCAATGAAAACAATTCAAACAGCAGAGTACCATGGTAGCATTTTTTTCATACAAAACTGGTTTAAATTGTTTAAGTCACTTTACAAAAAAAAAATCTTGGAGGTTCTGAAAAAGTTCCATACAACTAAGCAATCATAGAAATCATTCTGCCATGTAAAAATGTGTCTGTGTCCACATGTTGGTGAAGCAGTTTTCCATAGATTTTAAAAAATACAAAACCATGCATATTTTTACTACACTTATGAAAGTTTATTGGTGGTTGAAATAATTATTATGATCATAGCAATCTGTGATTAGAGAAAGATGATATTGACTGGCCCATTATTAATAGGATAAAGATTGGAAAGATCCCATCCCTCCATAGAAATAGAGATAGTTTGTACTGTACTCTTAAAGGCATGTCTTCAAATGTGTGAAGATTAACTTCTGTGTATATCTGTATTTTCATTCATCTATGGTTATTATCTTTAGATGTGTAGCATGAAAATTGACTTCTGGGCCTCTGAGTAGTAAAGTGCACACTATGTTTCTTTGCATCCTAAACAACATCTGTTAAGTGATTATTATTAGACACGCATAAGCATGCAAATGTATTGTTTTCATTAGTAGGATAATTTAAAATATTAATTTTTATAGAGTTTTAAATTTAATGGGGAGTAGCTGCACATGATGCTTTGAGCTGCTTCAAATTTAAACTACATGCTTAAAAAAGAATGCAAACCAAAACACCAAACTATAAGCATCCAATTACAGAATTTATCCAACAGCTGTTACACAGGCAGTGCTTCCATTGATAGTGAGAGGACTGCCTACATAATAAACACAGACTTAGACTTTGTGATTGAGTAAACAGTCATGTTACTTTTTAACTGTTTTTGAGATTTTAGAAATTAAAAGGTGGCATGTAAAGAAATAAATGCAAATATTAAGAGAGCTGTGGTCTTTGTTGGTATGCCATAACAAGTGGCTTTTTGATTCTCTCAGTTGGGTTTAAGTCCATAAAGTACCAAGAAAATAGTCTATTGAACAATGGGTTGGTTCAGTTATAAATAACCTAATGGCATAACTGATAACATGGGTATCTGTCACCATCATCACTACCACCAGCACCCCTGCCACTAACATGCCACTTGATATACTAGACTGATGATATTAGTTGGAGGAAGGTAGCTTATTATTTTTTTGATGTAGTAGAAAATACTAGTAATAATGGCTGCTGAATGAGTTCTGTCCCTACTACAGTCTCTGTCTTTCCACCAACAACTATCAAGAAATTGTTTTATTGCTGAGATGTTTTCAGATCAATGCATTTTTTTCAATTAGTACTTTAATAGTGCTTAATAAATTACTTTCACATACAGAGTACCACTTAATCCTCACAATGTCATTGCATATTAAATAATGTTATTGTAATTTTTGAAGTAAGATAAGGACACTGTGGCCTACAAAGAGAATATTGCTGGAGAACATAAGGCTAGTAGTCCATAGAATCACAAGCATGCCCAGATCACCTGATATTCCAAACTCTTCTTACTCCAAAACAAAAGCTCTTTCCATTATGTGCATATGGCTTTTGTGAAAATAAAATTACTATCTTGGGAGTCACAGTTATATAGATGCAGGAGAATTGATCAAACACCCTGTTTCTGTTGTCTAAATAGCATCAGTGAGGGACCTTTTGGAAACAGAAGTTTTTACTTTTAAAGTTTTATTTTATTTTTAATTGAAAAATAATAATTGTATATATATAGATATATAGGGTACAATGTGATGTTCTGATATACATACATGTACACACACACACACATTGTGGAATGATGAAATCAGGCTAATTAGCATATCCATCACCTAAAATATATATATATATTTTTTTGTCTTTTTTTCGTGTCCGGCAACGGAATCGCAACCCTCAGTGTCACGCCCGTACCAGACCGGGACCGGCAACGGGATCGCAACCCTCGGTGTTGCGTCCGCACCTCGCTCAGCCAGTGAGCGGGAACCGGTCTGTATGTGGGATCCGAACCCTCGGCGGGAGCGCCGCTGCGCTCCCCAGCGGTGCACTGTAGCAGTGCGCCCCCGGGCCGGCCCCTAAAATATTAATCATTTCTTTGTGGCATTTAAAATCCTCTTTTAGCTATTTTGAAATATACACTATATTAGTAATTATAGTCATCATGCTGTGCATTAGAACATCAGAACTTATTCCTTCTGCCTAACTGAAACTTTGTACCCGTCGATCAACCTCTTCCCTTTCCCCATCCACTTCCTCCCCATCAGCCTCTGGTAACCACCATTTTACTCACTACTTCTATGTGTTTATTTTTCTTAAGTTCCACATATAGGTGAAATTACACAGTATTGGTCTCTTTGTGCCTGGCTTATTTCATTTAACATATTGTCCTCTAGGTTCATCCATGTCACGAATGACAGAATTTTCTGCTTTTGTAAAAGGCTGAATAGTACTCTGTTGTGTTCATATACCACACTGTTTTAATCCATTCATTTGCTGATGGACACTTAGATTGTTTCTATATCCTGGCTATTGTGAATAGTGTTGCAATGAACATAGGAGTGCAGACATCTCTTCAGCATACTTTGGTAAAAGGCTGAATAGTACTCTGTTGTGTTCATATACCACACTGTTTTAATCCATTCATTTGCTGATGGACACTTAGATTGTTTCTATATCTTGGCTATTGTGAATAGTGTTGCAATGAACATAGGAGTGCAGACATCTCTTCAGCATACTTTGGTTATATACCGAGAAGTGGGACTGCTGGATTACATGGTAATGATATTTTTAGATTTGATGAGAATTTTTGTAAGTACCACAGAGATATTATCTTTATATGAAAATAGTTTCATTTCAAAAGAAAGTGTAGATATTTATCCTGTTAAAGTCATATTCGCTTAAACATTAAAACACTTTTCATCATGCTTACACCTTTCTTTCTAACATGTTAAAAAAATTATATCTGTAACTTTTTCCAAAAAATATAAATCAAATTATGTATTATGATAGATAAAATGCTTCTTACTTTCACAAAACTGACATCTATTTTTTATTTTTTATTTCAGAGATGGTGAATTGTATTTGAGTCGATCACTTGTCAATACTTCTGATAAAATCACTCGAAAGGCTGGCACCTCAATCTTCCAGCACAATGTAGAAGGTTGGAAAATCAATTCCTCTTTGGTCCTGGAGATAAGGTTAGTTTCCTTAGTATGGCATAATAAATATCACATCATGTTCTTAAATTTGTTGGGCTTGTCAAACTTATATCGAACACTTGATTTATACTTTAACTGTGAATACTTTAATAAAAGAATGAACTGGCTCTGTTTAATGTTGCTCACTGAAGAATGTGAAACAGTAAGACTGAAATTACTATACAGTCAGAAATTTAAGGATGAATACGTGAGTTTTATATATAGTGTTTTTATACTAATGGAATAATATATTCAAGAGTACTAATATTTAACATACTTTACCCAATTACTCAGGATGGACATATATTTTGAGAATTCTGATCTTGTGTTTTTCAACTAGATGAAAATGAAGTCTATCCAACTCCTATTTTGCTGAAAAAATATAAATAAATTTGACTTGTGAATATCTATGTGAGTTCATGTTGAAAAAAATGGGATAAAATCAGAAAATAACCTTTTAGAGTATTGGCTTACTGTTTGTAAGACTAGGCATTTTAGATGAAAAAACTCTTAAAATCAAACTCAATGCCTGCATATCAATATGTCATTTTCTTCTACTATAGTCCCATTACTAGTAAGAAACATAGCCTTTTCTCCTAATTATGGAAAAGCAAGCAGAAAATCTTTTCTATAATTATATTACATTGTTGTATTATTGATATATTTGAATTAGAACATTTCAGTAAATCAGAATACTTTAAAAGTTCTAGAGAACATGTCCTTTATATAATCAAATCATTGCATTTTTCTAGTATTGGTAAAATAGTAATCATTCAATGACTGTATATTAACAGATTTTGTAAGAGTAACTTAATGATTGATAGATACTTGCCTGGGTTTCTACCTGCTCACTTCTTGGATTATACATACACATAATGTAGACTATAAGCAACTTGAAGAAAGAGTTTATTGCACTTATCTTTAGAGTATATAAAGCAATTCATAGAATGCATTACAGCAAGGCACTCACTGCATTTTGAGATTTGCTTGAAAGGATGTATGGAAATTTAAAAAAGATGGGTGTCAGAGAAATGCAGGAATGGTTAGGTTACTTTGTTTTAAAGGTTTGGAAGTGACTGGAAAGGAAAACAGCAATCAATCCACGGCAATGTCAAGTGATGTATGTTTGGTTGCTTTTAGTTTAGGAAGAGTTTTGTATATCTATGGGCCTAGTACAAGAATGAGGAGATGAGTGGAATCTGATGGCAGAGTTCATAAATTGGTATCGTCTGGGTAAAAAGATGGCCAGGAAGCATGATTTATTTCAACATCATAAGAAAACAAAAACAAAAACAAAAACAAAAAAACTTAAAGCCAATTTAAAAAATCAGGATATTTTTAATAAAAGTACAGATTTTCATAAACTCTTTAGAAATTAAAAGATTTGACAACTCTGGGACCTGTATTCCTCCTGAGAACTAGTTTGTTGAAGCTGATGTTAGCCATGATCACTCTAATTTGACATTTTTACACCTGGGGCTCCCTTCTCTCATGGTACCTATCAAGTATCTTCCTCTATGTCTCATACCCCCATCGCTACATTTGAATTTAGGAACGCTGTAAGAGATGAAATAATTATGAAAAAAGAGCTATAGGATGTGTGATGATACGGGGTCATAAAGACACATATAGTTTGGTATAGAACAGATTAAGGGTTCATTTCTTGGAAGTAGATTGGAAAGAGAGAAATATGGGTGATTAAAAGAAAAGATTTGATTTATAAACAAACAGAAAGAGAACTTTAAAACTGGATGATTTGGCAAGAGGGGAGATAATTAGGTATTGCTATAAAGATCAGGTAAAGTAATAGAAGTAAATTAAGAAATTGTAATAGTTTAATTCATTTATCTAGGCATGAAAAATAATATTCAGATAAGGAAAATCTAATAAGTAAATTACATACATAAGTATTTTACACTAGTTTAATTAATATATCTGGTCATGCCTTCCTAATATCTATACAAAATTGAATACTGTGGGTGTGCATGAGGCTACAGATTTACATTTTGCTATTAGTAAGGTGTTCAGTCTAAGGGTGTTAAACATAAATTGAGGGCCGAGCCCATGGCGCACTCTGGAGGGTGCGGCGCTGGGAGCGCAGCAGCGCTCCCGCCGCGGGTTCGGATCCTATATAGGGATGACCAGTGCGCTCACTGGCTGAGCGCGGTGTGGCCAGTCTCAAAAAGGACAAAAAATAAATAAAATAAAAAATAAATTGACCCAAGAAATTCATTGTGGCAACTTTACAAGTTAATGAGTTAATTCACATTTTTGAGAGTAATCTATTTTCAATTATAATAGCTGATTATATGAATTAAATGGTAGTACTATTTTTATATGGTTCTCCTTATCTTTGTTCTCTGATAAAGAATTAAACAATAAAACTGTGAGCAAATATTAAATAATATATACAAAGTTGCCACTTCCTTGCAAGAAAGAATAATTTGTAAAATCATTATAGTACAATATGCAGTTCATAAAAAATAATAATTGCCTATAGCACCAATGACTATAAAGTGTTAATCAGCTTGACATCTACAATAGAAAATTTAGAATATGAAAATGTCTGATTGTTGACTTGGCTTTTTGCAAATATGTTTTTTCAAATTCAAATTGGAAACTAATCATGGGGTATTTTAGATCATTATTTTCTTGTTTCTTCCTCACTTCTCTAGCATTTAAGAAGAACCATATTACTTTGTGTCTGTAGGTGGGTATGGGTATATTTTACAAGTGTTTTCAAAATTCTATTTTGAAGTTTTTGATTAAGACATTACAACTAATCAATTTTTTTTTTTTTTTTTTAAGATGACCAGTAAGGGAATCTTAACCCTTGAGTTGGTGTTGTTAGCACCACGCACTCCCAAGTGAACTCTCCGGCAATCCCTATATAGGGATCCGAAACTGTGGCCTTGGTGTTATCAGCACCGCACTCTCCCAAGTGAGCCACAGGCCGGCCCAAACTAATCAGTTTTGATCTTACATGATTGAATTATGCTTACAAATACTTCTCATTTAAAAAATCTCATTAAACTTATAATGCTCTTTTGATTTCCTAATAAGTTATTTATGTATTTACATTAAAATGTGAAACAGTTGCTGAAGATACATTTTTTGTTGTTTGCTTACATTTGTAGACATGATTTTCTTTCTTATTACTCATTCCTTCCGCATAATATGACCTCTGCCGCCTTCAGAGAACACCAAAAATTGGTTCATATAGGAGGGTCCTTCAAAAAATTTGTGGAAAAATAGATTTAAAAAACTAAGTGAAACATCCCATGAACTTTTTTGAAGACCCATCATATATTCATCAAACAACTCTATATCTGGGGAGTTGTCTAAGAGAGATGGTTTTATGTATTAGTTCATTGTACTTTGAAAATTCATCAAAATTTAAGGAGTTTATGCACTCTACATCTAACTTCACAATTAAAATAATTAGCTTGGTTTAAAATCTTGACTTTATTGGTAATTATTTGTTCTTTATTATTGTGAGCTAAGAAATGACACATTTAAGACGTATTAGATGTTGTGAATAAATCTGTGAACATTGTACTGAGAGATTATTTGATCATGTCCAACATTTGTGATTTGACATTTTTTTCCATATTTGGGTTTTCTTTTCTTTATTTCTTTTTTTTTTCTCTCTGTTTTATATGTTGACTAGAAACCCAAAGAAGAGCCCATTCCAAATAGATCTATAGAAATTTAGGAGCTCAGGTACTCCTTAGGTGAGCTTAATCACATCATAATTGGTTGGAAACAAATTTTTCTACTCTTAGTATCATGATATATCAAAGTTCTTAAACAGATAAGACGTGGGCTAACTAAAAATAATTGCAAATTTATGTATGCTTACCTGTCAAAAACAATTTGCTATTGCATGCATAAATGTACTTTAAAAGGTCCACATACTATTCTTATACTATCTTCTTAACTTCGATCAGTACAACCAAGTGACCAGTAGAGCTCATCTTGGGTCACAAAGCTTGTTAGTCAAGATTTAAACCAAGGCTTAACTATAGAACCAAAGTCTTACTATGAAACAAATTTCTTGGTAGAGTATATTTTAATACTAAAAATGCATGCAATCAAAATGCATCTTTGTGATAGGATATTTTTCTTTGCTTTAAAATAACAAAATATCATTCATGCAATTTTACCAAATTCTGGACCAAGTGTGTCCTGTCTGATTTTTGTAGGCCATGATGAAACATTTGGCATTTCTTAAAGTTTTGCTTGTTTGTTTGTTTCCTTGCTTTTTGTGAACTGTATCAGTAGCAACTGAATTGATATAGTGAGTTTTTACTGGAGACACTGTCTAAAGTTTGCAAAAACTGATTCCTAATATATGCATCATAACCTAATTTCATTTTCAAATTGTGGTGAATTCCAACTCTAAGATTTTTCACACAATACCTTCTGATGTAGTTAGCAATGCCATTTAGGTTAAATTCTAGTTGCTGCAGGACAGTGTGCTCCTTGTTCACAAGAAACTGACAGAGAAGAAAGCATGGCACCTGGTGATAGGTTAGCTAAATTTAACGTTTCACGAGTGAAAATAATGTTTAGTAAATGAATTCTCTGGGACTCTGCTGTTGCTATTTCAAGTGATGGGTGAGTTGAAAGGGAAGCTTTAGTTAAAAATTCAGTTGAAAAGTTTCTGTATAGAATCTATTCCTGTCAGTTTAACGGTCTAAACCAATCTTTCACTTTAAGCCAACATTGCCTAACAAAAAATAGTTTTTATGACCAAGAGTTTGAGCTCACTGAAAGTGAAACATATTTTCAGATTCTTTCAGTTATCTTTTACATGAAAACAGTTGCTGAATTTAGGTGTCTGCTTATCTAAGGAGGTTTCAAAAGTTGCATTATGATCACAAAATGACAGTTAAAGGACCTATGAGGGATCTTTTGGTTTTTGTCCTTTCAAGTCACACATGGAAAACACAACCCCCTTCTTTGAATTTCTGGTAATAACTTAGCCACATATTGAAAAAACTTGTACTGGGACAGCCTGAATGTTAAACATTAGCTTTTGCTGATTCATGTTTCCTTAGAGCTCAGATCTTAAATTGGGATTTCTCTCTCTCTCTCTAATTTCTGAAGTAATTTTGTTTAGCCTGTTCTAAAAATTAAATTCATATCAATTATCTTCTGAGCAAAAGCATGTATGTTCTCCTTTGTAATACTTAAAGTATTGTTTTAGTTCAATGTATGTACAAGAGTGTTTCATGCTTTCAATGACATTTAGCTAATTGCATTTAAGTATTAGTTTTGGGTTTGTTTTTTTTTTTTTTTTTGCATATTTATTGTCTGAACAGTGACTAGACTTAGCAAATCCACAGAGCTTTTTTCATTACATTTGTAATCTAAAAAATGCCTTCAGCCTGCTAGAGGGAAAACAACCTAACATTTCTTTACTGTCTCCAAAAAGTATTAAGTACTTAAGTCACAATATTATTCACTTATAGTAATTATTTTCAGTCTTTCTTGCATCCTACACCAGGAATATTATCTCAGATAATTTTTCATGCATAGATCTAAGCCCTAAAATAGGAACTATAAGTTTGGTTCAACATAAGGAAAAGAACATAGTGAAGTCATTCAAGGTTTCCTCTTTGCCCTTTTTCAATTTAGAAAAGCAAATTCCACACTAACAATTATTCTGAGTTTTGCCCAAAAAACTTTTTTGACATTTGTATATTTTGATTAGTCTATGTGAGTTGGTACTTTTTATTGTTTTGAAAATCACTTTTATTATTTTTACTGCTTCTGTTTAAAAAGAATAAACTGCTGTTGAGCCTATACCACAGCATTGAAAGAACATATACTATTTTATCATCTGCACTTAATAATTATTTATCTCATTAAACACTATTTCCCTCCAAAAATTAGATAACATGATTACTTTTGAAATTTTGCTCAAGTCTCATAGTCCCCCTTTTTATAGCATTTTTCCTGAAGAGTGAATAAACCAAAGATGTTTAATTATACTTAGAAATTTAGAAGGCATGTTTTAAAATATTGTTGCTGCTAACTTTCCAAAACCCAGCAAAGGTGTTGTTTTTGAAAAGCTATTAGTTGACAAGCATGTAAGTTTTAACTTTTTTTGACTGAGTAAAAGGTATTTTTCCTTTTGGATTTCTAAGCTAGAGTTTTCTTTCAAATCTGGACCTCTAATCTACTCATTTCAAGCCTGCAAACATACCACTACTTGAGAGCATACATCTCCAAATACATCTGCAGCAACCTATTTAAGTTATATTCAAAGGAAAATAATGACACCACTAGTTTGATGATTTAACCACATCCGTGCAATCTTTATTTTAGAGCCAGCTTCGTAGTTTTCACAGGAAATGAGCCATTTTTGTTGAAGTAAAGGTGTCAGGTATTACTTGATTTTTGCCCAAATAAATGGTAATTAATAAGTATGTAGAACCAGCTTCGTAGTTTTCACAGGAAATGAGCCATTTTTGTTGAAATAAAGGTGTCAGGTATTACTTGATTTTTGCCCAAATAAATGGTAATTAATAAGTATGTAGAAAAGATTCTGTGTATTGTCACTTTTGGTGCTAGTTGTTAACTTTTGTGAAGAATCGTTATGTGTTTGACATAATAAAAGACTTCTCCACTTTCTGAAATTCATAAGCCTTATTTTTGTAATCCTTGTTAAACTGTAATTCTCTTCTTATATGATCTGTACTTTAAGCGTTAAATTAAACTGTAATTCTCTTCTTATATGATCTGTACTTTAAGATAAACTATTAAGGTGTCTGATAGTATGTCTATCAATTTTTGTGATTTAATTTGTAGGGCATTTTGTTAAACTGTAATTCTCTTCTTATATGATCTGTACTTTAAGAGAAACTATTAAGGTGTCTGATAGTATGTCTATCAATTTTTGTGATTTAATTTGTAGGGCATTTGCCCAGGTTTTCCTGTACAAATTCCACTCCTTATGAACCTAAAATTCAGAATATTTGACAAAAATTTCAGAAAATATATTCTTTTTCAGAGAGCTGAGGGACCTTGTATATAAAATCTGTTCAAACAGTCTTCAATCACTTGGTTTTCTAATTAGATCACACATTAAACTGAAACCTATTTAGAACAAACCAAAATAAAGAAAACAAAAAGAAAGATATGAGTTAGTTACTTTCCATCCCTCCTTGTTAACCATGATTCTAGCTTGTAAGTGAGGGTTGGAGTATTACTCTTTTGATGAAGTCATGGGAAGAGATCATATTTTGTGCTCAATAATAAAATTTACCTATTATGATGGAGCTTAAACAGTAACACTTGAGGAAAAACATTTCTGTCATATCTTATTATAATAATGAGATTGTTTTCTATTGCTTTGAAAATCCAAGTTTGTAATAAAAGCACTTTAGTAAATAATATCCAATTTCCAACCTAGGCACAGAGCTTACTCAGATTGCCTCTTGTTGGTAAGTGTTTGGTAAGCTGAGTATCTGACAATGCCAGACTTTTGCAGGCCAAGTTTATAACTTCTTTGGCAATATAATTCTCACAAAAACTTGCTAGGCTCCTGGGCTACTTCCAGGTATAGATAAACCCATCCAAAGATTTCTTCCGAACACAGTTCTTAAGCCTTCTGACTCTCCCCTAATTATTCTGATCTATCCCTCCCTGTCCTAAATTTAACGGCAGTTATCCTTACGTCATTTGAATCTATAGACTATCGTGGGAAGGTAATATCCCTCTTACTGCTGGGATGGCTCCAATTCTTGTAGTGTCTCCTGTTAATTGGGGTACAAAAACATTTGGGGGGGGTCCCAATTACTAGACTTTCACACAGTTTAGATTACAGGCCGTTGCCAGAGATGTATTACCTTCCATCTCAGCTTGCAATTTGGCTACTTCGTGCCTGCCTTAACCTCTTTTATTGCCTTGTTAAATGGAGGAACCAAAATAAAACAACATATGAACATTTTTTAATCAATTCTCCAAGAGCAATAGATTCATTAGATATGATGCATGACTTTCAGCTTTCCAGCTAGATATACCTATTTTCTCATTTTCCATTATCCAACTATGTACCATATGCATATATTTTATGTTCATGTAGCATCTCACATCTGTTTTCAACTTATCAACTTATTAACATGTTAGTTATAGGATAGACTAAGCTTCCACATGCAAAAAAGAGACCTTAAAATACAATGGCCAAACATGTTGGAAGCTTATTTCTTTTTTATTGAGAGATGCACATGATCCATACATATCCGACTTAAGGAAACTACCTTGCATGACCAATCTCAGCTGTACTTGGGCTTGGAAACCTGGAAATGCTCTAGCTGAGCATCCACATACCCAAGTAAAACTTAGAAGTTTCAAATACAAAAAGTAAGTAGGGAAGAAATAATGGTAAGGAACAATTAGTTATCTCTGCCATATACAGTCCAATGTTCTATCTTTTCCTTTTATTTGAGCTTGGAATAAAACTTTCATATACATTTAGTGCAATAGTTTTCGTTCCTCTTCAAATAATCATCCACATAATTTGTTTAAATGTCTATAAATTTCTTTGGAAGTTTAATTATTTTAGTATAGTCAACTATGGTATAATTGAAAACAATTTCAAGTTATTTCTATTAACCTTAACTAGACCACATTAAACAAAATAAATAACTATAGAGAATTGATTGAAGCTAGCCAAACATCTAGTGATGTGAAGTCATGTAATGGTGACTATTTTATTTAATAAATGAATTTTCTATATATTTTGATAAATGAAGTGCTTTTTTTTTTTACCCCACTAATAGATGTATATACCATACCTATTCACAAAATCATTGAGGAGCTCTGTGCAAATAGTTTTCAGGAAACATATTCTATTTCCTGTAGAATCTATTTAATTGGTTGGTTTAATTACCACCTGACAATTTAAGATTAATAGTTTATCAATTTATATTTCATTATGTTACTTTGTAAATAACATTACCAGTTCTTGGATATGCTGTCATTAATGTAAAACTTTTCTTGTATTTCACATATAGGAAGAACATTCTTCGTTTCTTAGATGCAGAACGAGATGTCTCAGTGGTCAAGAGCAGTTTTAAGCCTGGTGATGTCATACACTATGTCCTCGACAGGCGCCGTACACTAAATATTTCTCATGATCTCCATAGCCTCCTACCTGAAGTTTCACCAATGAAAAATCGCAGGTTTAAGACCTGTGCGGTTGTTGGAAACTCCGGCATTCTGCTAGATAGTGAATGTGGAAAAGAGATTGACAGTCACAATTTTGTAATAAGGTGAGCTTTCTTCTGTTTCTAGAGATTGTAATTTCTTCAAAAACATTTTACTTAGGCGTAGAAAACTGGTAAAAATGTTTAAACTTAATGTTAAGTATTAGTGGAAGCTTAAACAAATATTTATTTATGATATCATTTTGTGTGTATTATCCAAATTTACATTTACCCCGGAATAGGAAATTAAAATTATTGTATCATTGAAAGAAAAGGTGATCTCCTTGCAGCAATAAGATATACAGAAGATTTTAAGGGCAGGAGGGGGCAAATGGAAATTTTATTAGATTTAATATTCCCACAGGATAAATATTTCATATGTTTTTCTTTATATTCATTAGCTTTGTGTGAATTCATTTGTTGTAGAAAGATTATGAATAGTACAAAGCAGTGATGTAATAGATGTAAGTTAATTTCACTTTTTGTTGACAATTATTTAGCAGATTCTAAGAACATAGCTAAGCAACTTTATATTTGATATCCTGGGCCAAATTGCCTTTGTTACTCTTTATATACATTATTTATATATATTAGTAAATTTTAGTTTTTTAATTTTCTCACATAATTAAACATACTTGTTTGGTTTTCATTGATAGTCAACATATATTTAATGAATCGTGTGTTTGACTAATTTTTTATTAACCAAAAAACACTCAACAGTAGAAATGGGATTGTGATCACATCGTAGATATTAGCAGTTTTTAATTCCCAATTCTTATATCTACATAATTTCTTTGGCATGTTTTAGTTCTTTAGAAAAATTTTCTGAATAAGTGGAACATGTATATTGGAACATAAAATAGTACAGTATAAAGAAGGATAGGAAAGTATGCTGAATTGACATGTTGACAAAGACCTGAAGTCCCTTAAAGACAAGATGGAATATAGCCTGTGAAACCATAGATCTTGAAAAAATCTTTTATGAAATAAAGTCTTAAAAAATAAAGATAATTATGTATATGCTATTGTAAATAGTCAAGCACTTTTTCATAAATCAGTAATAGCCATGAAAAATCATACTAGAGCATTACCAGATGAATATAGTTGATAATCATGAATATAACTGCAAACATTTTAACTTATTATTTTGCCTTTTCTCACTTGGGTGCAGGATCATTGATTTGAGCCTTTAAAAATCTGAACTCAAAATAATTGGACTTAGAGGAAAACCCTGTCAACATTAGATATACAAAGAAAATTGTAGACAAAGAAGAGGTGACAATATTTGATAAGGGAATGACAAAGGAAGTAGAAGTAATGAGCTTCAAGCATTGAGTTCTGTGTGATGTATGGTTGTGAAGAAAAAGTAAGGCTTCTAGAATTTCTGAAGTAAAATCACAGGGCGGGTAAAGTAAACATTTTAAGGCATAATGGAAATTGTTGTAATGTGAAGAAGAGAATTTTAAAAGGTGATTCATAGTGGAGGAAAACAGGGTCCAAATGTGACTTCTTGTTCCCGCATGCCGCTAAGCTGTGGCACTGGGGCCTGTCCAACTGTTAGATTCAGCCACATCCCTGACTCTGAAATGAAGGCTCCCTTTACAGGTGGGTAATGAGAGAGGCCTGACTGCAGTAGTTCCGCAGTTTTATATCAGTTTATTGATAGTGCTTCCCGCTCTGGCTTTGTTAGCCCAGTTTCTTTTGACTGGATTCTTAGCATTATTCCAATTCTTATATTACTGAATTTTTACTTAACATGTCACTGTGTCTCCAACAAGTGGATGTTGTTGTATGCTCTTTCTACATCTTAAGAGTGACTGGTGGCCGACTTTGCTTTATACAACAGCCTCCAATTTCCATTTTTCCTGCCTTCACTTCCTAGAAACTATATATCTTGCCCTAGGTCTCACTGCACTGTAAACATCTTAAGAGTGACTGGTGGCCGACTTTGCTTTATACAACAGCCTCCAATTTCTATTTTTCCTGCCTTCACTTCCTAGAAACTATATATCTTGCCCTAGGTCTCACTGCACTGTAATTGGCTTTGACCAGACTATTGGTTTCCAAGGTCCTGGACTTTAGTTCACTCGTGAGTAAAATTCTGATTCCACAAAATCCTACTACCCTCCTTTTTCATTCTAACATTATTTTCTCTTTCACTGGCCAAGCAGCAGCAGTAGGTCACCAGGTAGTAACATCCTCACAGTTTTACTATGGATTATTGGAAGTTTAGATCACTGCTAAGCTTCTCTGCTGCTCCTCCAGGAAAATATCTGGTACCTAGGGACTTGGCTAATGTATATATGCTTTCTCTTCTTTTTATGTCGTAGGCACCTAATTTCATGCCTACTTTCTAGACTTACAACCTTAGAGTCTGCCTTAGATGAATAAACTTGTACTCCAACCTTAGAATACTCTTTGATCTTTCCTACAGCAACCCAACTCCAATGATGTCCAGTAAACTGATTTATCTATTTGTATTCTGTACTCTGTCTTCTGGAGTCATTATCTACCTTCCTGCTAACTGTCAGATGGATTTGAGTTTCTATAATTGGTTCCTAGGCCACTC